CTTACACGACTATATAATATATATATATTATATATATAATTATATATATATACATATAATTATAATACAATATCAATGATAAAATATGATATATATGCAAATGATTATATATATTATTAGATATATTATGCAACATGTAATTTTTAAAATAGATAAAAACTAATTGAATTTTATTTGTGACTAATGATGATAATATATATTACATTGTCCAACATACATGTGTCAAATCCCATATTTTGTGAAGATACTTTACAAAATTGTTTTTCTTTGTTTTTTGCAATACGAAATTTATACAATTAATTATGTAAACAAGATATTATAATACTACAAAAGAAATTTGATGTAAGCACACTGAATATCATTAATGTTTTCATAATTACATAAAATTGTTATGTAAATAATTATAGAACTATAAAGTTTCAATATATTGACCGTTTAAGATAGTTCATTTATGTTTATCTTGTTTAAAAGAATTTTGTTTGAAAAGAATACTGTTTCAAAAAATTAGTTACTTTATAGTGTTAATAAGCTCACCTTTAATATTTTCACAGCTTCATTATAATTACTAACTACGTCTCGTATAAGACTAGCCATGTCGGTGATGTAATGTGCTCAGATGTAGGGAATCTGAAATATGAATATAAAAACGTACTTATTAAATTTTTATATTTATCATGTACGGTTTAGTTTTAAAGGTTTTCTTTTACTTCATTATTGTCGACACTTACAGAATTAAAAAGAAAATGTAAAAAGAAATTATTAATAATAAAGTGAAAAACTCTGATACATGATATATATAAATGTAAAATTTTTCTATGTAGGAAATAGGAAATAAGAACGCAGAATATTTTATTCAATAAATATGTCTTAAATTTTTCTTTAATTGATTTGAACATTTTTCTTTTTCTTTAAACCATATCTTTCAACAGATCAAAAAAATTTGCATTTACTTTTTCTTTTCTTTATATATTTTAATATGAAAATTTCATGTAAAGTAAAATTAAATTAATTTTTCACTATTTTATAATAAAAAATGTGTCTCAGTATATATATTATAGATTTAATGAATATGTTCAAAATATTTTTAAGTTAGTAGGCAAAATATTTTAAGTTCGCTTTTTACGTGGAATAAAATATTATTTCTCAATACATAAATTTCATAAGTGCGATATATCTATATCTAATTAAATATTTTGTCTTATCACATAAATCGCACACAGAATGGTTTGTAACATTATTAATATTGATCATTATCAGTAATGCAAACAAAAAAAATAATGTATTATTTATCATATTTATTTATTTTATAACATTAACTTATAAGAACACCATTATAAATGGCTAAAGTAACTCTTATTGTTTAAAATTTCAACAAACATAAGAATAAATAATCGATACAAATGTCTCACAGATTTTTACTCGTGTTCACAACAGAGAAATCACATTTATTCGTAGCATACTCACTTTTTCTTTAACGAGCACTGAATTGTCTTGTTATTATTTCTCAAACTTTGAAATGCAGGAACTTTTGGTACTCGTGGTCTTTGCTCAAAATCAACACATTAAAATAAGAAGAGGAACGGATAAACTTCGATATACGATTTGCTTCACGAGCGTCTCGCTGCTCGTCGATATACGATGAGAAGAGAGACACGTCCTACGAAAAACTGATCGCCCACTTGTGGTGAGCGCCCGTCAAGAGGATCACCGTTCGACAAATGTATCCTCCGATCCCCACCGCACTTGTTGATTTTCGTCACTTCCGATAACAGCAATAAGTAGCTGATGATAAGGAACAAAAAAAAAAAGTAAGTAGACGCAAAAAGTATAGCTCTATATTTGGTGGCTGTCGACTGCGAACTGATAAAATAAGGAAAGGAAAAGAAGAAAGGAAACACATGTGAATATATGGGACACGATGATCCTTGGGAGACGTGAAAGCAGTAGAAAGATGGGAGTGGAAGAACGTGCCAGAGGAAAGGAGAACACGGAAAGAATTTGCGAGAATGACCGCGAAAATATATGTCACGTTAAACGTGCAAATAATACGAGCCACAAGTCTACGTTACATATCCTTATCATCTATCAATGGCCTTAATTATTGTAATTATTGTAATTATTGTAATTATTGTAATTATTGTAATTGTTGTATATAAGTGTCACGATAAAAATAATGTAATGCTCGTATTATTTGCACGTTTAACGTAACATATATTTTCACGGTCATTTTCGCAAATTCTTTCCGTAATATATAAATATATTATCTATAAAATTTAATATATAATTTAAAATTAAAAATTTTCTTAATTTTTTTTCAACATTAATCATTTTTCACTGGCGACTTCAATTTATTTAAAGAGTTTATTAATCATTCTTGTTATATCTGTTAATTTAGATTTTTAGATCATATTTTAATAAAATTTTTGTAATTTTTATTATTAAAATATTTTGTGATTTTTATTATTAGTCATTGAATCATCAATATAATAAAAATTTGCTCAAAATTTCATTGTTTGGGAAAATGCATGTAAAGATTAATAATCTATTCTGTAATTATTTTATATACATATAATATGTAATATTTTATATATTCTTTATTATATACTTTATTATATAATCATATTGTTATATAATTATATTGTTATGTATTCTTTAGATGAAATAAGATACGTGATTTTATTTAATAATATTTAAATTTATTTTGAACAAATTGCTATTGTTAACAAATGCGTTTTCGAAGTCCTCCACTTACCTCATATGAATAGAACCTGTCGATGTAATCCAACGCTGTCTCGCGCACGAATGTTACCGATTTTGCTTTTCACTTTTAAAAAAGTGCCAGCGATCGTCTTCTTGTGACATATTGTGGGTGCTTCCGTTATTTGGATTTACATAAATTCGAATATCTGATTGTTCGATGAAAGGTCACCTTGAAATCGAAAAAAGAAATAACAATACAGGTCATCGTATACTCCTGATTGAATAAAAAATCTATCTATGACTTTCTTTTATGCAAATTAGTTCATTTTCATGCCTACGTCACAGAAAATTTCAATCGTATTCCTACGAATTAAATATTTGTTTATCATGTATTTAACCGGAATAAGCAAGATATACCCGTATGTGGAAAAAACGTGAAAAAGAGTTAAGAGAAACATTTGAGAAATGATAATGATGCAGATAATGATGTAACTTATTCGTAACTACGTTTTGTGGTTTTCTTCATAACTTCAACTTTAAAATATGGAACAAATCTTTATATAATCAACTTTATGGCTGTAAATAATGTATTATAATTTTTAGAAATAAAATTTATAAATTTTAAAGTTTATAAATTTCTTATAATATTGTACATATATATGTATAATATTGTAAATAAATAATGTGTGTGTCTATATGCATGCTTCAAATATTTTAATTTCAGTAAAACCGGGAAATAAATAAAAAGAGAGAGAGAGAGAGAGAGAGAGAGAGAAAGAGAAAAAACATTAATTATTTAACGAAAAAAATGAGAGATTCAAATATTTAAGCGGATTTTTTAGTCAGTTTGTCCGGAATAAGCAAGTTAAGTAGAGAGAGAGACAGAGAAAAAGAGGAAGAGAAACAAACAGATTTTGATTTGCAAAACTAGAATTCTTGTAATTTGATATAATTACTGACATAATTTTCAAAATCTATATAATTCTGTAATTGAAATGAGGGAATAAATATACATATATAGATAAAATATTAGTCATATGTTTTGCATGTTATATTACTTATAATTTTATAAGTATTTAAAAGTTACGGATATTAAATTTATTAAAGTAAACAATATTTAAACTACTGATAAGAAAAAACAATAATGTTAAATTATATAATAATTCTTATACTAATAAAAGAAAAAATATAATATAGTTTATAAAGGCAATTTACATGTCTCGATCATCATAATAATAACACATGTAGCTTATTTACAGGTAGACGTGATATAAATCGTTAATCGTCTAATTAATTATTGTTTACAGTTGATGTTAATAGCGCTAAAATAGCAAAAAGTACATATATGTGTATATGTTACTATTATTAAATAATTAGTTTGTTATTTAATAAATACGTTTAAAAGTTTAATAATCTCTTTGGAGAAATATAGATATATTATAACTTTTATTTTATATTTATATCATTAGTGTTTTGCATTTATTCTAAATTCTATATGTATTGCTTTTTAATGCAAGATGTGCATAAATGTGATTCTTTGATTAATTTTATGTTTCTTAATCAAAATTTTATTGAGTATTTTTTTATTGCTTTATTGTTTACAAATTAATGATGCTTTCAACTTTTACTAGCGAAAAATTTCAAAATTAAAGAATGTCACTATTTAATGCGGGCAAGCATATTTGTAATTTTCATGACGAAAGTCCAGAATCTATGCCAGTAGTTTCCGCTTTGATTTGCGAACAATTGGCCAACGTAAGTATAACTTAATTAATCAACTAATGAGAACGCTACAATTATCGTTAGACGAAGATATATTGTAGTTCACAACAAGGAAATATCGTATTCTGACATTAGACTGCGATTTGTTGTAATTGGAAAATAGATAGAACCGTAGTTTATGTGTCAATGTTTATACAGAAGAATGAAAGCATGACTAATGACACCGTTAGATGATGGCGCCAACGGCATATTTTACTATTGCTAATACTGTACATTCAAGAATATATCAGCTGGACGTTAATGATGAATGTATCGTATAACAAGTTATAAAATGCCTCTAGAAGTTTCTGTGTTACCCAAATAAATGTCACATAAATGGTAAAATGACACAATTATATATGTATTTATTTTGTATATATTTAGTTATTCAAGTACGTTATTCAGTTAACATAAAAAGCAATAAAAATGATATAAATAATAGAAATAAGATTATTTTATAATTAGTTGTTATGTAGCAAAAATATTTTATCGCTATGATTATTTGGCAAATATATTCTAATAATTATAAGAAAAATTTCAATAATCTAAAAAGTTTATGATACTAAATAACTTATCAATAACAAAATTAGGTAAAATATGCGAGATTTTAAATAAAATTATTGTAACTAGTTTTTCATTAAATTAAAATATACATATATATTGCAAGAATATATATTCTTAAAATTTTTAATTTTAGATAGTCAGGAAATTGCGGACAGTTAAAAGTCACGAATTCTGTATCTCATAAACTGAATAACGGGAAAGTGTCGTAAAATTCTTTTGCACATCACGCAATCTAACTTTAACGAGCTGACAAATATTTATTGTTCGTTAGAAACGAGTCTGTGTACGCGAACCAGTCGGCAAGTGGTCATACGTTAAATAATTACGATGACTATCAGGCTAATAAGAGACGTGAGTGCCTGGAAGTGTTACAAATACTGATCTGGAATATTTGATCTTATTTTCCATTATTTTTAACTAAGAAGTAAGTTAACGATCTACAGCAGGGAAGTAGGATTATGTACTCTTTATAGTGGGTTAAGTGGTCGGTATATGTATATACCTTTAACAGGTTTGCGATGAACTCATTGTCAGATTTACGTGTTAAAGATAATGCGGATAAAGCTACGTCGCATTCTTACTAAAGCAATCTGCAATTTCATAAAAATCGAAGAAAAAAATTTAAAAGAGTCGAGAAAAATATACCTATTTATTACATTCAAGTTTTGAAAATTTATCAAATTTTTTGTTTTTTGCGAGCTCTTGCAACACAGTCACAAACTTATAAGACAAAAAGTGAAAAATAATCTTCTATTATTCTATTGTAACAAAATTAGATTTATATCTATTTTTATTTATTTTAGTCTCGTGTTTTTACATGATTACAATTAATATTACAGATTCAGAGATTGCAAATAAAAATTCATCAAACCTTTTTTTTTTGTGAACTCTTACAACATAATCATAAATAAGCTATAAAAAGAATTTTTATGATTTTACTGTTGGGTTTTTACGATTATGATTGATATGGCTGTAATCTCAAGCTGCTATTGAAAATATTGTTAAAAAGTATATATATATATATATATATATATATATATATATCTTTTTAACTTTAAAAGAATATATAATATATTCTTGTATTAGTATTTATTGATTAAAAATCGTCAATTATGTAATGTAAATGCATATAATTGTGTTGAGAATAAAAAAAAAAGAAACATTTATTCATCATAGATTTATTTTATCTTTTAAAATTTTTATTTCAATGTGTTTAAAAATTTTAGCTTTATAATTCTAAAAATAAAAATATTAATATATGTTAATACGAAATCCATTCACATCGTGATATACTAATATATACAATATGTTAAAAATATTTAAAATAGTTTTTTCACTTCAGTTTACTATTGATTAAAAATGTCCAAGAAATATAATTGCTTTATTCTCTTATAGATCGTTGTGTTTATTAATTGTTATTGACCAAATAATTTCTAAAAAAAATTAGTTTAATTCGATGCTTCTTGTATCGAATTTGCTGCGCATTTTATAATTTTTGTATAGAAATAATCTTTATAAAAATATTTTATGAAATATGATAACAACTTAAGATACTTCAAATATATACTTTTTTCATAAAAAGAAATAAAACACATTTAGTCGTCCATTTATTCGATTGTGAAGCTACATTGCGGAAACAGAAATTTCGGTGACCGTTATGGGTTAATCTTAAAGTCGTGGACCAAGATTAAATATAACGGCATTTGATAACAAAAGTGGAACTCGCTATGGATATATCTGCTTCTTTCGGTACTTCCCCACCTTGTTTTTCCTTTTCCTCTCACTCGTCCCCGTTCGGGATGTGCTCAAGAAAAGTAGGTCGTTGGCAGCTCATACACGGTCACGGCTACAATTAATTATTTGACTTGATTGACTGGATAACAAAATCAAAAAACCAGTATTAGTGCGAGATTATCGGTCATACGAGAAATGGGTAGGTCACAGAAGAAAAGAAAAACAAAGAAAGAGAACAGGACGGTATAAATCAATATTAAGGAAGTAGTCCACAAAAAATATAAGGACTTTTTATATTGTTAAACAAACTGCAAGCATGTATTGAAGTCATTATTTTAAAGCAAATCTTCTATATCACTAGAATAAAACACAAGCGTGTGCCACACACGTTGTAACTTTTTACTTATGTAGAACGTAAACTCTATACTATAAATATAACACAAAATTTATTTATCAGAAATCCATAAAAAAACAAACGTTGTTTTTCCGACTAATAATTCGCGCTAATCGAACAAATATATTTCTTTTCTTTTGATATCATTTTTCTTTTTGTTCTCATTTTCTTTAATTGATGAGACATTGTTTGCTATATATGTATAAAATAATTATTAACTTTTTTAGTCTTTAATAAATTCAATTATATGTATATATTATATGCATAATTATATGTTTTACATAATAATATGTTTTACATGAGTTCTTGATTTATAATATATATAATACATAACTTGTTGATAATTGCAATATTAAAAGTTTATTATTAAAATAATACCCAACTCACAATTTCTAATATTTGTATAATATTAATAATAAAAAAAAAACATTATAATATAATAGTCATAATAAAAACCGTTAATATTAAAATTAATTTGATATTAGAGGATATCGAATAGAGTAAATTAATATCGAAATTTTGATCAAATATTACGTTTAATTTGATTTAGTGATACGTAATTTAGTGATTCATGAATGACGTTTACAACAACGAATTTGATAAAAAGATTCGAATGATAACATACTGATAACATACGAATTATGAACAAGCGATTGTTTCACATACGATCAGCTATATGTTAACCATATTATATACAATATATGATGTGCAAATTAATTTCATATATTTTGTTTTTCTTTAAAAATGACTTAGAATTTTCCAATTTAAAAGAAGATATAAATATTACGAGATATATAACAAAATAATTTTGTAATTCTACTTTTTATTAAATAACGTTATATGCACATTAAATAAATAAAATAATGAATATAGAAAAATCTACAGAGTGTTTAGTCTTATTTAATTCTTCTGTAAATTTTTTATCTTTTTAATTTAAGCAAATATCTTTTTTGCGAGATTTTGATTGATCTTTTCTTTACGGAAGTTTAATCAATCATATCACAGAGTTTCATGACTTTTAATATTTAACAATAAATAGTCTTATTTAATTCTTCTGTAAATTTGTTATCTTTTTAATTTAAGCAAATATCTTTTTTGCGAGATTTTGATTGATCTTTTCTTTACAGAAGTTTAATCAATTATATCACAGAGTTTCATGACTTTTAATATTTAACAATAAATATTTAATAATAAATTTCTTTTTAGACAAAGATTAAACACAGAATAAAATTTTGGTTTTTTCTTTTCTCTCTCTCTCTCTCTCTCTCTCTCTCTTTCTCTCTCTCTCTCTCTTAATTATTTAAATAGAAAACTCTTTATCTCTTAGTCTGAACGTTCTTGATATTTCTAGAATAAATTTATAGGATTTGATTAAAGTATACATTAAATTAATCAAACTTGATCTATTCTACTGCTGCGTATATCAAATAACTCATTGTCAGTCTGATCATAGAAAAAATGATGTGTACGCAATATACAAAAAAATTAATTTTATTTAGCTGGAAAAGACAAGTCTACAATGTTACATTGTAGAAATTCTCATCTTTTTCTGTCAATTATTAAAATTTAGATCCAAGTGACAATAGATTCAAGTCTTGTGTTTTGTGTCATCTTATTACATTATTCATTTATTTATTTATTCATTTACTAGTAATATCTACAGGAATAAATAAACAAATAATACGGCCGCTAATGCCGCTTCAAACATCAAGATATTTATATATAGATATTTTGAACCAAATTAATTCAAACACTTGAAACTGTTGTCCTCGATCTTCTTTCTATTATGTACATAATTTGTATTCTTCAATTTCTATTATATGATTATAATTTTAATTCGCCGAATTCCTATTATATACATAATTTTAATACCTGAATTCCCGAAGTTTTATTATGTACATAATATTAATTGATCGAATTTTTATTATGTACAATTTCAATTATTTACATAATAAAAATACGGCAAATTAAAATTATGTATATATAATAACAAATAAAAATTAAAACTGTGTGCATAATAGAAATTCGACGAATTAAAATTATGTACATAATAGAAAATCGGGAATTAAAATTATGTATTCCCTTATAATAAAATTATGTACATAATTGATATTCGCCGAATTAAAATTATGTACATTTGCTAATTATATATTATTTATTATTTACGCGTTGAAAATTCCCGCGCGTAGTAATACATGAAATCGGCCGATTCTGACGTGGCGTCACCACGTCACGAACTTCCGCCAGCGCCGCCACCAGTTAGTACAAGTCCAGCGGCGAAGGAGTAGACTGTGCGTCGCGAATGCTCCGCGTCTTGTTTGGATTTCGTGCGCGAGTAACGCGAACGGGAGTGCAAGTCCGGGAGTGTCCGGGAGTGTCCGGGAGTGTCCGGGAGTGTCGTGTTTCGACGTGATGGACCGAATATATGCTCGAAGAGCATCCGGGCCTCGATGGGGACCTCGGAACATCGCGAATCGGAGATTGGTGGGAAGGGGATGGAGGACGTTTCTCGTTTGAAACTATTCCGCCGTCATTTTCGCGCTTATTTCGACGCTACTCGCTCCCCGAGAGCCTCGCGAGGATCCCTAATCGTCTTGAAGGGTATCCCGGCGTCGACGGGGCCCCGGGAGTCGCGGAACATCGTGAATTGGGGAATGGCGAGCTGTGTGAGGGGCGGCCCCTCACTCGCTTGAGCTTTTGTGACGCTTCCGCGTAACTGCCGTGGCGCGCAAGTGTTACTTCCCCTGAGTGAGACTTCAGTTCCTTCGCGATTCCACGAAGTAACGCGGCGCGCCGGGAGATGTCGCGATATATCTCTATAGACATCACGAGTAAATTTAAGGGCATTTAGATGCGTTTAATGTAATTAATACTCGGACGCTCGCTTTCTCGGAATCGAAAAAGTATATTTTTTTAACAAATATTTTGTTCGTATTTTTATTCGCAAATGCGATATCGAACGTGATCGAACGGGATGCTCGAAAGTGCCGAATGCATTCGCAAGTGATATTATTTTTTCGTCCGTATCGTCCGTTTATTTCGAAGTGCATCTGTGTGTAGTGAAGTGCGAGAAATAATTATTGCAAATATAAAATAAAAGAAAAAACAGTGCAGTGATCAGTGCCAAACCATATGGGATTACAGCAGAGCAGCAGTGGAATATAAAAGTGGATATATGTATAAAAGGAGAAAGGTTTGGATAATCGACTTAATGCAATGTGAGTTAATTTTTTCTTTATGTTACATTCGGATTTTTTTTTTATTTTTCGGGAGGGAATTACTTTTGTAGCGACTTCTATTTTTTTGACTAACTAATATAAAAAACAAATATTAAGAAAAACATCTAATCTGAGAAAAAATAAACCTAACTTGAGAAAAAATAATACTAATATTAAAAACTATAGAATAAATAATAGAAATAATAATACTAATATTAAAAAAAATAATTCTAAAATTTGGACAAACGTATTTTTGTTCTAAATTATTAAAGTTCAAAATTATTGAAAGTTAATATAATATTGAGAAATGGCGCGCACGTAGCGTTAATTAATATAGTTTCCGTATTAAAATATAAATTCTTTAAATTCAGATGCCACATGTACATCACTAAAAACACGATATTTGCAAGTGCCAATAAATTTTAAGCGGAGATAGATCGTTGTCGATTTGGAAGCAAAATATTTAAAAAGTGACCGACTTTAAAAATTTCAATACTCATGCACAGTTGTATTTAGAATCAATTCTTATTGTTTGGAACGTTTGCAATCGAAACCTGTATCAATAAAAATACAACAAATTGAAAATCTTGAAATTTGAAGAAAATCATCTTTGACAGGTTTCTTAAACTACTGTAATTTTTAAGGCGTGTGAGTACAAACGAAACGAAATTCAGTTCACACATCTATAAACGATTCTTAATAAGACTGCTGATTTGGATTTGCGTTATTTTCAATTTGGGGAAAAATTTGAACTTTTGATTTTTCGACTGAACGACGCGAGCGATCGACGTACTATCATTTTCGGTATTAAAAAAATAATTCCTCATAGTCAGCTGTCAGATTCACACTAATATATATTGAAAACACATTTTCAAGTGCGTTCAAAGTCTTTAAGCGAAGATAGATCGATTTCGATGTTGAAGCGAAAAATTTAAAAAGTGACAAGCTTTAAGATATGTCGAATATACATGCTCAGTCGTGTTTAGAATCGTTTCTTGTGGTTCGGGACATTCGACTGCGAATGTTACATCGATGTACAAAGCAGAATTTAAAAATCTTGAAATTTGAAAAAATTCATTTTCGACAGTTTTGTTTAAACTGCTGTAATTTTTAAAGTGTGCGACTTAAAGCGAAACGAAATTCAGTTCACACATCTATAAACGATTCTTAATAAGACTGCTGATTTGGATTTGCGTTATTTTCAATTTGAAAAAATTTATTTTTCACAGTTTTGTTTAAACTGCTGTATTTTTTAAAGTGTGCGACTTAAAGCGAAACGAAATTCAGTTCACACATCTATAAACGATTCTTAATAAGACTGCTGATTTGGATTTGCGTTATTTTCAATTTGAAAAAATTCATTTTTCACAGTTTTGTTTAAACTGCTGTATTTTTTAAAGTGTGCGACTTAAAGCGAAACGAAATTCAGTTCACACATCTATAAACGATTCTTAATGCTGATTTGATTTGGATTTTCAATTTTTTCAATTTTTTTTTGAAAGTTTTTTTTAAAGTTTTTTTTAAACTGCTGTATTTTTTACAGTGTGCGACTTAAAGCGAAACGAAATTCAGTTCACACATCTATAAACGATTCTTTTTAAGACTGCTGATTTGGATTTGCGTTATTTTCGAATTTGAAAAAATTCTTTTGACAGTTTTTTTAAACTGCTTATTTTTAAAGTTGAAAAAAGCGATTTTTATTCAGTTCACACATTTTTTAAACGACTTAATAAGAAATTCATTTGGATTCTTAATAATTTTTGGATTGAAAAAAAATTTATTTTTTTTTTAAACTGCTGTATTTTTTAAAGTGTGCGACTTAAAGCGAAACGAAATTCAGTTCACACATCTATAAACGATTCTTAATAAGACTGCTGATTTGGATTTGCGTTATTTTCAATTTGAAAAAATTCATTTTTGACAGTTTTGTTTAAACTGCTGTATTTTTTAAAGTGTGCGACTTAAAGCGAAACGAAATTCAGT